ATGATCTGCTTTAGTTCATCCTCACAGAAAAGCAAACTTAGGGAGTCATACTCGTAGCGCCATCTGTTGGACATAAAAGCCTTAACCCTAGACAAAAATCCATTGTAGTTTTATTTAATTAATAAAAAATCTGCAGGTTTGATTAGTGGTAAACATTCCGGGGGTCATAAAGATGCTACAGTTAAAATTTGGTAACGATTTGTTCAGTAGTTTTCACGGTTAGTGGTCACAAACGAAAAATACGTTGTCTCTTTATATAGTAGTATAGATATAGATAGATATAGATGATTACAATGGTTTTATTCTATGTATTCATATAAATCGAATTTAGTAAGTATGTGTATAGGGGGCAAGATTTTTTCACTCAATTTGAAGCTTAATAACTCCTGTACCTTTTGTCAAAAATTTCTGAAATTTTGCAAGAGGAACATATTAGGAGAAAATGTTCCTAAAAATATTCATGAAAATCAGACCGTTGATTTTGGAGATAAAGCCACTTTAATATTTCATAGCCAATCTGAAAACTTACAGGTTATTACCATATTAGATATGAAAATAAATAAAGAATTCCGGAAACGTTACCAGATTTTCTTTAATTTCGATTCTTAACATACGACGTCATTAATGTACTCATATATTATTTTCTGGAGGAAATAATATTTTTTACATCTTATTTTCTGTGAATCTTTTAATGTTTCAATTCTCGCTTTCCATCGATACTTTCTTTAATTAAACTATTCTGAACACTAATATGCAGCAGGTGTACCATCCTTCTGCTCTGATATATACAATAGCTCTACGTGTCCTCTCTCTCTAAGCTCTAAAAATTTCGTTTGTTTTTCTTTATTTTAAATTCCTACAGTTCTTATAAGCGCCAAAATACCAAGCTGGCATTGTTATTTCTTTGATAGAAGAGTTTAACAGGTAACTCACGACTACGCAAAGCATCATGACTTCACTTGTAGAATAATTTGTAAGGAAAGTTTAGCGAATCCTTTCATATCCGAAATTCATTAGAAAACGGAAATATTATACAGATGTTAAGTAAACAACAACCCCAAATTTCGTCCGAGAAGCTGAATTTTAAAGTAAAATTTCTCTTTCGAAAATCAAAACCTCATACTGCGGACAGTATATATATATAAACTTTGATTGATCAATAGTTTTTTTTTCTATAACTGCTCTTAGATTATTAATATTATACATAATTATATAATTATAGAATATATCAGATTGAAAAATAAATAATTAAATTCTTCTGTTGTATTTTATAATTCTATATTGTTCTACTGCTTCAATGACACATTATAATCTAGACTACTTTTTTCAAAGGATGTAATTATTTTGTAAGGTGAACGTGTTTTAGGAATTGCCATAATAAACAGGTTAATTCTTTTGCAATCGATACAAACACAAAGAAAACTTTCATCACGTCTTTTATAGTTTATTTTATTCATCGTAAGGCATGTATATAATATAATAACGAGTGTGATTCAAGTCATATTCAACTATTTGCATTGTAAAATTTTGTTCTTCTTGTAAATAAATTTATTATTATTGAAGATTTTATAACATAAAATTAATTTATATATATTTTACAGTTATAATATTTATATCATGATTGATATTGATAAGAATATCGGTGATGTTAGAGACTTCTATAATGGGAAATCAGTTTTTGTAACAGGAGGAACAGGATTTGTAGGAAAGGTAATGTAAAATAATTTATTTTCATTTAATAAATTATATATTTTTATAAAATTTATAAGCATCTTAACGAACCTATTGATATGTATAAACTTTCTTATCGTTATATCTTCTGATATTAATGAGAGAAAATTGTGGAAATACGTTGAGATTTCATGTGTATTTTGATGAATGCTTTCCTTAAGTTTACAAGTATTTAAGTTATATTTATTTTACAAATAGAAAAAAAAAAACTTGATTTAATAAAAATATAGAATAAGGTGATAACAGTATTAAATATGTATAAATTTATCAAACGTGTGAATAATTTCAGAATAAATGGCGACAGTTTTTAAAATAAATAAATGTTTTAGTATTAAATCAGATAAAATTTATTTTTGATCGAAGTTTATTTTAGCACACATTTAAGCGTGAAAATGAATACACCTGTGGCAATAAAAACCACTAATAGATCATCACATTGGCCATTTAACCCAAACAGCATGAGTGAAATGGCCACAATGTCAGTGACAGACTCATTTACGTACAGTATACGTCGAGACTGTAAGTTATATCCAAAATGACACAGTCAAATGAGTTATGTTAAAATGTTTTCAGATTTAACAAATGCCATTTATTTATTTTTTGCACTGTGACCATCTATCGCAGAATTGGTTTAAGCAGGAATAAGCTATAATTAAGCTAATATTAAATGATTAAATAGTAATTTGGTCAAAAAGTAGATGATTAGACCACATTTTTGTGCTAAGGTTAGTTTCTATTTATTGATTCTAGTACAACAGTGTGTCCTAATCGTCCAAATTATATTATTTGATCATTTACTTAGTCCGACTTTATAGAAATTTAATAAAATATTTGAGTTAGNGTTAAAATTTGGTAACGATTTGTTCAGTAGTTTTCACGGTTAGTGGTCACAAACGAAAAATACGTTGTCTCTTTATATAGTAGTATAGATATAGATAGATATAGATGATTACAATGGTTTTATTCTATGTATTCATATAAATCGAATTTAGTAAGTATGTGTATAGGGGGCAAGATTTTTTCACTCAATTTGAAGCTTAATAACTCCTGTACCTTTTGTCAAAAATTTCTGAAATTTTGCAAGAGGAACATATTAGGAGAAAATGTTCCTAAAAATATTCATGAAAATCAGACCGTTGATTTTGGAGATAAAGCCACTTTAATATTTCATAGCCAATCTGAAAACTTACAGGTTATTACCATATTAGATATGAAAATAAATAAAGAATTCCGGAAACGTTACCAGATTTTCTTTAATTTCGATTCTTAACATACGACGTCATTAATGTACTCATATATTATTTTCTGGAGGAAATAATATTTTTTACATCTTATTTTCTGTGAATCTTTTAATGTTTCAATTCTCGCTTTCCATCGATACTTTCTTTAATTAAACTATTCTGAACACTAATATGCAGCAGGTGTACCATCCTTCTGCTCTGATATATACAATAGCTCTACGTGTCCTCTCTCTCTAAGCTCTAAAAATTTCGTTTGTTTTTCTTTATTTTAAATTCCTACAGTTCTTATAAGCGCCAAAATACCAAGCTGGCATTGTTATTTCTTTGATAGAAGAGTTTAACAGGTAACTCACGACTACGCAAAGCATCATGACTTCACTTGTAGAATAATTTGTAAGGAAAGTTTAGCGAATCCTTTCATATCCGAAATTCATTAGAAAACGGAAATATTATACAGATGTTAAGTAAACAACAACCCCAAATTTCGTCCGAGAAGCTGAATTTTAAAGTAAAATTTCTCTTTCGAAAATCAAAACCTCATACTGCGGACAGTATATATATATAAACTTTGATTGATCAATAGTTTTTTTTTCTATAACTGCTCTTAGATTATTAATATTATACATAATTATATAATTATAGAATATATCAGATTGAAAAATAAATAATTAAATTCTTCTGTTGTATTTTATAATTCTATATTGTTCTACTGCTTCAATGACACATTATAATCTAGACTACTTTTTTCAAAGGATGTAATTATTTTGTAAGGTGAACGTGTTTTAGGAATTGCCATAATAAACAGGTTAATTCTTTTGCAATCGATACAAACACAAAGAAAACTTTCATCACGTCTTTTATAGTTTATTTTATTCATCGTAAGGCATGTATATAATATAATAACGAGTGTGATTCAAGTCATATTCAACTATTTGCATTGTAAAATTTTGTTCTTCTTGTAAATAAATTTATTATTATTGANGACCGGGAAACGTATTTGTAAAATTTAAGTGATTTGTACAACATGGAATTCATATAAAACGGAATAATCAACAGTGTTATAGGGGGGTCGACTGTATTTCAAAATATTATTTTAAATATTTTAATTATAATTTTTTCAATAACAATATTTAGCTTTACGACAGATTAAAAAAAGAAAAACCTAATTTTTTCGATAAAGTGATATGTATTCCAGGAGATTTCAATTCCGAGAATATTGGTATTAATTCTGATGATTATTGTATGTTACGTAATAATGTATCGGTGATATTTCATATTGGTGCAACTGTCCGATTTGATTTAACTTTGAAGTAAGTAAAAATATTTAATTATATAAAATACGTACATTTGTTTATATACAATTCTTTAAAACTAGACTCAAAAAAATTGTAATTATTATTGGTATATCAGTTAGAAATCGCTATTTCCAATACCTTTCCTTCTATCACACATCGTTTATTGTCTCTCTTTTCAAGAGTGACGATACTGAAGTAACATGAAATCTCAAAATGGCGGTCTAATTAGTGTTGCCATCTCTAAACGTTTTACATTGTTGCCATCCTGCAAAAAAGTATCATATTATTAACTTTTATTAAAATACATAATAGCTGATAAGCTATGGAAAATAAACTCTACGGTTTACAATAAAATACCCTGTGTTCGAGGCGTTGCAAAACAATAGAAAAATGGCGGCCAGTTTTTATTAACGAATTATATTATTAAATTATGTTGATCAAGTGTGTCAAAATTAATAAATTGGTTTTGTTGCTTAATATTTACTGCCTCGACATAACAGAAACTGGTATCGAGGATTAAAATAAAGAACTAAACGAAGTATCGTCAATTAAAGTGTAGAATTACTAGGGAAAAACGAAGATGGCGAACGTGATCGCATTTATTCAGATGATATATTAATTGATGGAAGAGATGATACACGACCTGCAAAACTTAAAAAAACGTTTAAGAATCTTAAAAGCTCTGGTTAGAAGATAAATAAGGAAAAATATACATTTCTCTTACTAGCAAATGAGTATTTTGGGTTTAGAATCGATAAAGGGCTTCATCCTGCTATGGGGATTACAGAAGCTATACATAAAGCTCCATCACCAATGTAACATAAATTGCAATAACTATTATTTAGTACATAAAATGCTGTAAAATCAACATTACTCACCACCTTAAATATTAGATCTGTCAGCTCAACATATTTGTGAATAAGCTAACATCTCTCAATTTATTTGTCAGTATTTGCCACACCCTATTGAAGAACTCCCGCTACTATCAATTTAATATCTAAACTGTTTACTCTATTTTCTGTGTTAATATTAAGAGCCTGCGTTAAAAATTCCTCAAGAATAAATATCTTATTTACACTTTGCTTGTCCCCAAAATAAAGGAAACTGCTGAGATGCTATCCTAATTAACATCATAGGCAAACACTGAAAAGCCTAATAATTTCTCTATAATTTCTCTCGTTGTTCAACAGCAGAATAGTGATGAAGAACATCGACTCTGCCAGGCAAGTGTCACTCACAAAATGACAAAACTGAATAAAGATTCAGTACGTTGTTCCGAAATTCCGCTGCACTAAGTACTTTGCAATACCATATTTTGGGATTAATATATATTGAAATAATTGGATAAAAGTTCGGATAATCGTTCAGGGTTTGGGTAACTGAAGGAATGATCATGTCTTCGATATACCTTGTAAAATTAATTTTCATAAATATAGGTTAGTTCTTATTTCTTCATAATAGATGAGTTTTATTCAATATTACAATTCTTACTTTACTTTAAAAAATTAATTTCGTTTCTGTCATTCCACACATTCAGCTTTCTCTTCTTTAGTCGCCATTTTTGCTCTGATTATTGTTACCACGTATCTGAACTTTTACTCTCAAAAAATTCTTTTATATTACAGGTTTACAAATCAACTTTTTATATATTAATAGATTATACAATCACATGAACATTTTACATTGGAAAACACCTTTAAAGACACCTTATATGTATCTGTATATTTTTATTACTAAAATAAATTTATGTAAATTTCTTAATTAATTTTCTATAACTATTATAATATAAATAGTGATTTTAATTTGTAATTGCAATATTTATGCACTATATAAACTCTTTTACTATAGAAATTCGTTAGGAGTGATTAAAAGAAATGTATTATAAATGCATGTAATACAGTAGAGCCTCGAAAACTCGGCACTCGATAACCCGGCACTCCGGATAACTCGGCCATACCCTGGCAGGGCAAAAAAATCCTTAGTTAATTAATTGTCATGATAAAGTCAGCTTTATGCCTCACAAAGTATTTTTCTGAGGTCTGTCTTATCAGGTAAATTACTGTACACTATATATTCATTAATTTTCATTTTCATGTAGTAAAGGCTCTATGCCTTCGTAAAAGACGTACTTTTCCTTTGTTTAAGGGTATTTGGGCAGTTTATTCTCTGTTGTATTCTCAAGTAAACAATACATACAAGTACAGTACAGTATTTTCTGAGGAAACACTCGTACTTGTTTTTTTAACCCCATTCCCGATAACCTGGCATTTTCACAAACTCGGCCACCCTTCAGTCCACATTAGGCCGAGTTTTCGAGGCTCTACTGTACTAAATAATCGAGAAAATTTAATAGAACATGAGATTGGATCTTCATTCATATAATTTTAATTAAAATTTTTGAATTGAAATAACATGAACTTCTAGTTTACATAGGAAATTCTTATATCGTTAATCGAGGCCTTCTGTACCTAAGGTTTCCATATCTATCTCGCCTTTCATCTATCTAACTCAGTTCTCAAGATTAAGAAAGAACAGACAGACATACCAACACTCCAGTAAGAATTTATAGGTCTGCAATTTTAAGATAGCAACCAAATGAATTGCATTTCAATAAAACTTTATAAACACTCGATAATAACAAATGTTAACAAATACAGAAGTGTTATGAGAAAATAGAAGATATAAAATTAAATTTATTTATTTTTTCAGTTAAATATGTATTTTATTTTTATAGGTTTTGCTAGAGAAATTATTAAGATCATGTGATTTAAAGAATATTTACGTACTAATTAGAAACAAACACGGTGTAGACCCTAATTCGAGATTGAGAAAGGTGTTTGATAATAAGGTAAGTATCTTTTTTTATTTTTAATTAAATTACAATCGACCCCCTATAACACTGTTGATAATTCCGTTTTATATGAATTCCATGTTGTACGAGTCATTTAGATTTTACAAATACGTGTACCAGGCTGTGAACGGTTCATTTATTTGTAAAATCTAAGTGACTTGTACAACACGGAATTCATATAAAACGAAATTATCAACAGTGTTATAGGGGAGTCGACTGTATATCAAAATATTATTTTAAATATTTTAATTATAATTTTTTCAATATCAATATTTAGCTTTACGACAGATTAAAAAAAGAAAAACCTAATTTTTTCGATAAAGTGATATGTATTCCAGGAGATTTCAATTCCGAGAATATTGGTATTAATTCTGATGATTATTGTATGTTACGTAATAATGTATCGGTGATATTTCATATTGGTGCAACTGTCCGATTTGATTTAACTTTGAAGTAAGTAAAAATATTTAATTATATAAAATACGTACATTTGTTTATATACAATTCTTTAAAACTAGACTCAAAAAAATTGTAATTATTATTGGTATATCAGTTAGAAATCGCTATTTCCAATACCTTTCCTTCTATCACACATCGTTTATTGTCTCTCTTTTCAAGAGTGACGATACTGAAGTAACATGAAATCTCAAAATGGCGGTCTAATTAGTGTTGCCATCTCTAAACGTTTTACATTGTTGCCATCCTGCAAAAAAGTATCATATTATTAACTTTTATTAAAATANGTTATTATTGTTCGCCCGCCATTAATTACGTCAACATTAAAAGAACCAATTGAAGTAAGATTTGTTTAAATTACTAGTAAAAATTATTGATTTATATAACGCACGCCTCCTGCATATTACTTGGTATCAATTACGAGCATTCCGACCAGCAATGGAGTAGGCCAGCTTGATGAGGGAAAGAAGAAGAATACCCAAATTTATACAACTTATTAATTATTATATTTTGTCTCTAATGATTAATTGACTTAATTAATGTGGTACGTAATTGGCGTAATTGATTATTCCTGTAACTGTTGATTATTCCGTTTTATACGAATTCCATGTTGTACGAGTCACTTAGATTTTACAAATACGTGTGCCGGGCTGTGAACAGCTCATGTATTTGTAAAATCGAAATGACTCGTACAACATGGAATTCATATAAAACGGAATAATCAAAAGTGTTATAGGGGGGTCGACTGTATTGCTAAAGGAAAAGTATGATGTAGAGGGGCATGCCACTACTGATTTGAGGTGGAAGGCATATATTTTAAATATATTAAAAATATGATTAAAAATTGCAGCCCGGCTTCTTAACGATGTCACAATAAATAATTGCTCGTTTATTATAATTTATTAAACAATATATGAAAATATATAATATATTTCTAAACTCTTGATTAATTTTATCATTTTCCTTTAATCAATATTTAATTTAATTATTACTTTCCAGGGATGGATTGATCAATATAATCTTTTGGTGGCTTTCATCATTTCGGTAAGTAAAGTGTATTTTAAATTCTCGTATCTTTTAACCTTTTATTAATATAAATTTATTTGTAATTTTATAATTAATTATATATATAACATACTGATATCTAATTCTGAATATTAACGCTACTTTCATAATGAAATTTAATGCTAAGTTATATAGAAAGAACATAATTAAAACATTTTAATGGTTTTCTGTTCAATTTAATGTTGATTGCATAAGAATCATTCGGGAGTATTTGGAATGGAACACAAATTTACGCAGAATTTCGTTTTACATAGTTTTACTGACACTCAACACCACCAAAAAGAAAACACGTAAATGTACTGTATATCGAGCAATTATTTATTGTGACATGACATCGTCACAATGACGGGCTGCAATTTTTAATGTATTTAACATAAAATATATGCTCTCCACCTCAACATCATACTTACCCCTGTACATCATACTTTCCTGCTAGCAATCGAGTCATATCGATCATTTATCTAATTCTACTCTGGAGAAAATTTTAAATTGAAATCATATGAATTCCAGTCCAGATTGGAAATTCATAACTTTCCATATCTGGTCTGCATTTTTATCTATCTGTTCTCGAGATTAAGAAAAGACATACAGACACAGTGGGAATTTATAAGTCTACAAAGTTTTCAAATTGCAGCCTAATCAATCATTTTGGATACATAACGATAGTAAAAATACAATAAAATACAGGTTTAATATTTTAATTATTTTATGGTATTTTATTAACACGAAGATCACGGATGACAGATAATTCAAAGGAATCAAAAATCATAATGAAGAGTGTCTCAACCTTTCTATAGAACTGACTTTATTTTTATTGTTAATATTTATTTAATTTATTATTAATTTATTTTAACCATATTCTGAAATTATTATAGAACAATAATCCGAATTTGAGCATCTCTGCAAGATGCTAGATTCACTTTCACTTTTGGGGAGATAATGATGCCAATTCGAGTTGAGTTAAATGTAAATATACTTAATAATTATATTTTTATTTCTCTCTTCTTCCTCAGATGCCTACATTGTATATAATGCAGCTCCTAAATGTCTCTAATCTAGCTAGTTAAGGGCAATATACTTACATACTGTGTTTATTTCAACATTAAATTTATATTTAAGTATCGTATCGTGCCATTCGTAGGTGCAATTAATTGTTTAGATTTAAAAATAATTCTTTATACAGTACGAATGGTAGTATATCGAAAGGTTGTATGAGATTGACTATGTATTATGTAAGCGGAATGTAAATATATAATCAGTTTATAAAATACATAAATATTTAAATAATAATGTATAAAATCCTTCAAGAAAACGTTTTTAATTATAAAATATTCATAGTTAATGACGAAACTAAAGCATTGTTCATGTTAAAAGAAAGAATTTAAACAAAAGAATATATCCTATAACTAACCTATTTATAAATATAGAAAATTCGAAAAAATATATATATATTATTAATAAGTAGATCTGTAAGCTGTATTCCTCAATTTATAAGTTTTCTTTCAAGAAGAATATTATATAAGATAATAAAACGTCGTTAAAACTGAATATATTGAAACATTACATAAAAATTTAATGATAGATGATTAAAATTTTCAAGGAATCTAATTATTAAAATCGTAAAAAAAAAACCCGCCAATTTTCTTAACTTTTCCTTGTGTTGCTGACCCTAATTAAATTGACAAAATTGTAATGATGTATTTCCACTGTACTTTTGTATTAGAATTCAATAGCGAAAACACATTATTATTTATCTCGGTGACACTTGACATGGAAGATTTTGACAGGAAACCAGAAACGACATAGAGAACATCACGATTTTATCAATATTACAAAGGCAAAATAACATCAAGCTACATCCTGATCAGAATAATAAATTTAATTCTTTTTATGCTGATGAAAAATTTCTTCGAAATAATTTTCCTTCTATGAAATATTTATGTAGTTCTGCAGTTTCATTATATATATATATATATATATATATACAAAATAAAAATTCAAAATTTTAATTCTAAAATTAATCATGAAAACAAATGTTTGATTGAAAAGGTCAGTGTTTTGAAATATCTGTTGATTATAATAATTTGTTGAATTAGTCAAGCACTAAGTTCATGTTAATTTAAATTAAAATAGGAACCAGCTTAAAGTAGATAAAAATCATAAATGTCTTGATTATGTATACTTATATTACGATTTTTTTAAACCCATTCCATGAGCATTTTAAACGAATTACCAACTCGTTATTTGTGATAAAACGTTGACTCCGAAAGTAACGCTGTGGGTTTATTTGTGGAAATGTTTTGTGTATAGTCACTACATGAAAGATTGGATTGGATATTGAAGAAGACAACGCAACAATTGAGAGATCTACTATGAGGGAATACCTCCAGACAAGAATTTCTACGTAAAATTGGCGCCTTGTTAGGTGTTAAACATGTGAATGAAACCCGGAAAACTCCACGTGGCCAGTATGTGAATAGCGCGAACATACGACCATTATTCAGTGGTTTAATTCACTCATCCACTGTTGGGCTCCGGGTAATAGACAAGGGGTCCCCATCTTTGATTAAGTCCATAATAAGCATAGTCGAATGAAGTGAGTGTCAAACAATCCACAAAAACTTTTGAGGATTCCATTCGAACTCGAACCCAATTTTTCTGGAGTGACAGCCTAATGCAGTATCTCTACTGTATCGGTCTTTGCTGCTTTCATATTTATTACAATTTCATACATTTTGTTTTTACTTTATTTTTCACTTTATTCACTTTATTATTTCACTTATTTTAATTTTATATCGCATGTTGCTTTATCTTACTCTTGTACACTAGACTCTTCTGATAGTGAGTTGAAAATTATTTACTTAGAAAAATCATTGTTTAATATATTTTTTGTTATATTTTATTTTATTATTTATATTTTTTTATTTTATTTCATTACTAATTTTTTTTATTTCAGTTTAAATTGGAATGCCTATTCAATTATAAGTATAATTTAAATAACATTAAATCATTAATTTTTTCAGTTTGGTAAAGGGTTAATAAGAATAATTCCTGGGGATTTAATAGCGATAAATGAATATGTTCCTGTTGATTATTGCGCGAACATGACAATCGTTTCCGCTTGGGATAAAGCTAAAAAGGGGTAAATATAAATAAGAACTTTATCATTTTTATTCATAAACAAAAATTACTATTATAAAGTACCAAAGAGGATGATATGATTCAAAAGTCAGGAGCTATTAAAACTTCGTATTTTAGTGAACTTTGACCTTAAATACAGTAGAACCTCGAAAACTCGGCCTAATGTGGACCGAAGGGTGGCCGAGTTTGTGAAAATGCCGGGTTATCGGGAATGGGGTTAAAAAAAATAAGTACGAGTGTTTCCTCAGAAAATACTGTACTGTACTTGTATGTATTGTTTACTTGAGAATATAACAGAGAATAAACTGCCCAAATACCCTTAAACAAAGGAAAAGTACGTCCTTTATGAAGGCATAGAGCCTTTACTACATGAAAATGAAAATTAATGTATACACTGTGTACAGTAATTTACCTGATAAGACAGACCTCAGAAAAATACTTTACGAGAGCTTTTATACTTTTATAAAACTGTCTATAATGAAAATTAATTAACTAAGGATTTTTTTGCCCTGCCAGGGTGTGGCCGAGTTATCCGGAGTGCCGGGTTATCGAGAGCCGAGTTTTCGAGGTTCTACTGTATATGTGATTTTAACGAATATGTTCAAAATGACACAAGATTTTATTCTGAAATAAAAACATTTTATGTACATTTACAACTATGAAGTGTATAGATCGCGTGTAAACTATAGATGAAATTCTCCGATTGGATATGTATGACTTATATATATATGTCTGTGTGTGATATATGTGTGTGTGTGAAAGAGAAGATTCTATTGAATATAAACTCAACAATAGAATCTTCTCTTTCTCGAATTTTTTGGACAGAGTGTAAAAGATATATCCTTACTTCTGTGTCAGTCTGTGGAAGTGTAAATTGATCGCTCATATTTAGCAAAGTATTTCATAAAACTGAAAAATTTAAAAACGTTTTACATTATATCAAATACATTTAGATAATTTATGTCGAGGATAC